ATTCTGGTGACTGTTTTTACTTTTTTCTCTATTAAAAATCATTGTCAATGTAATTCTTGTACCTGATTTCTGATAATTTTTTAGGTTAGTTACCTAAGGACAGTATTACTGAGACAAAGAGAAAGCTTTCAAAAGCTGTCCATACATGTTACAAAATTGCCTTTCGGAAATATATGCCAATGTATTTATCCAACAGAAAGAATGCTGTTTTTTTTATGACATTAGCACTTTTACCCCCATTTAAAAATTTTATTGTAAATTGACAATTTATAATTGTATATATTTATGGGGTACAAAGTGATGTTATGATTTATGAATACAATTCGGAATAATTAAATCAAGCTGATTAACATACCCATTACGTCACACGCTTGTTTTTTACAGTGAGAACATTTGAAATTTACTTCTTAGCAATTTTGAGATGTACAATACACTGTGATTAACTATATTCACCACACTGTGCAATAGATCTCAAGAAGAAAAACTTATTCATCTGGTCTGAGACTTTGTACCCTTTGACCATCATCTCCCCATTGTCCCCAACCCCCAGCCTCTGTAGCCACCATTCTACTCTCTGCTTCTATGAGTTTGATTGTTTTAGATTCCACACATTATGTGAAAACATGTGGTATTTGTCTTTCTGTGCCTGGCTTATTTCACTTAAGAACGCTGTTATTTTAATGCTGGAATTAGATACTATTCCTTTTTCCCAGGCCTGGGATGCAAAAAGAATATTCAAGGAGGCTGAGAATTTCTTTGTGTCTGTTGGCCTTCCTAATATGACTCAAGGATTCTGGGAAAACTCCATGCTAACTGAGCCAGAAGATGGCCGGAAAGTGATCTGCCACCCTACGGCTTGGGACCTGGGGAAGGGCGACTTCAGGTAAGGCTGATATTTTCATAGCTGATGCTAAATGGGGGACAATGGAGGCAGGATGAAGTTGAACATGGATCCCTTCTCTGAGCAGAGAAGTGATGAGTTAACTCTTTTTGAACTAAGGTTAGGAGTCCATGAGAGCACGCTGAGCTTTCCCAGGAAAAGCAGGCCCTAACTTGATCCTTTAGACAATCTGCCTCCTTTGAAATATAATGCATGTGTTAGAATTGCATCGTCACTGGAGATAGTGGTGCCCATATCAGGAAAGGTTTGGTGCTAAGATTTATGGAAGATGGACATGTGAATCAGGGAATGGTCTCCCCCTCCATATTTCACTCTTGTAAATGAGACAGAATAGGTAAATAAAAAAGCTAGGATAAAAGGGAGAAAGTGATATATGTCATAAGAGGGACACAGGGAACACTCTATGGAGAATTGGAAGACTGACCACACTTGGAGTAGGAGGTAGGATCAGATAGGACTTTGAATTGGGCTTGAAAGACAGGAAGGATTTGGACAGACAGAGCTGGAAGACACCAGACTGGGAAAACAGCAGAATCACATGCAGAGAGGCAGGACCTGGCCTGTGTGCTGAGTCGGCAAGTTAGACTAGAATAAGAAATATGAGAAGGAGGGTTTGTGTGATGTGGCAGAATGGACACAGGCTTTGGAATTCTAGGTGTGTCACTTAATGACTAGGCAACCTTGGACAAAGTATTTCACTTTTTGGGTTTCAGTTTCCTTATCTATAAGGTAGAACAGTAATTCCCAGGTTGCATGTTTGTGAGAGTCTTAGGTTGGGTTCCCTAGCTTGAAATATTGTACAAGTGCTTCATTGAGGGAGAGGTCTCAGGCAAAGGGGAGTGAGGGAAGCAGGCTGGGACAGGTGAGGGAGGTAAGTAAGAATGTGATCTCTGCTGGAGACTTGGCATTAACCTGATCCCATGGAGCTCTATGGAGCATGATTGCAGAGTTGGTCACACCTTGAGACAGGGGACTGGTCTTTTGTGCCCTTATATTAGTTACTGGCTGTGAACTAACTTCCTGAGTGTGGGGGGACATAACTTCCTGGGTAAGGCACCTCCCACTTGGCCAAAGGCAGTGAAGAAAGCAGCTGTTGGCCCTTATTAGCTATGACTGAGGTAGCTGGGGGATGGGCAGATCTGCTTGATAAAAAGATCTGAGTGAGGCCCCACCAGCATTCTCTAGAGTAGGGATCAGCAATCCTTTTCAGTAAAGGGCCAGATAGTAAATAATTTAGGATTTGTAGGTCTGTGTCGCAACTACTCAACTTTGCCCTTGTGACATGAATGCAGCCATAGACAATCTGTAAAAAAATGGGCATGGTTGTGTGCCAATAAAACTTTATTTACAAAAACATGTGGCCAGCCAGCAGGCCATGGTTTACTGACTCCAGTAATAGAGTGAGGCTTAAAAATGAGAAAGTATATGTAAGTTTCGTAGCACAGAATCTTACATACAATAGACAGTAAATATATAGTAGTTATTCTTATAATTGTTTCGAAACAGAGTTGTGAGAAACCAAGTTAGAAAAGCAGATTGGGGTCGTATTGCGGTATATAAAGGAGGCTGAGTTTAATTCTTGAGCAATGAGAAGGCCTTAAAAGGTATTTATCAGGTGAGTGACATGATCAGAGTGGTAGAAAAATTAATTTGGGAATCTATTGAAATATGACCTCTACATCCACTTGAAAGAAAATACTCTTGCCAGCTTGAAAAGGACCACTACCTCATTGCCAAATGCAGTTCTTAAGCTATTAGGCTACAGCAGCATTAGACAACATTTATAAGTTGTCTTTTAAATGCCTCTTCCAGACTTCTTTGATTTCTCTGATTGCACTTTCTCTGTCTCCCCTGAATCATCTTCCTCTCTCCACCCTTTAGGTACTGGGACCACCTAAGGCTTTGTCTTTGGCCCTCTTTTCTTACCATTCTATTCCTGCTTCATGGGCCATCACATCCACTTCCCAACTTACATGCTAGTGATTCCTGAGTCTCAATTTCCAGCTTCTTTTACTATTTCTGTATTCTGCTATACAAAACTGCTTGCGGTGTTCTGACCACCACATTTTTTTCCCAAGCCTTTCTCATTGAGCACTTTGGGAGAATACCAACCTCCCTTGTCATCTATCTGGCAAACTCCTGCACATTGATCAAGGTCCAGATTGCTCATTGCATTCAATTCATGCCCTTCTTGGTGCTTCTAGGAGACTGTGCTCGGATTCACTCATTGTTATGCCCAAGGCTGTGTCTACTGATCATTTATAGAGTACTTGCCTCACAGTTTTTGTAGCAGAGCACTCTGCTCATCTGTCTTCCTATTAGTCTGTGAGCAAGAAAACAGGATTCAGCCCTGCCCATTATTACTTTATATTGAGCAATGAGTACAGTTTCTAGGACATAAGAGGTAGGTACTCAAGATTTCCTCATGAATAAATCTTGGAAAGATGATTCATGATACCAAAACTCCATACGACTCTACAGTAATGATTAAATAAAATTTAGTGAGATTCATTTTAAGCTTGCCTATTTTCGTGCAGGATCAAAATGTGCACAAAGGTGACAATGGACGACTTCCTGACAGCCCATCACGAGATGGGACACATCCAGTATGATATGGCATATGCCATACAACCTTTCCTGCTAAGAGATGGGGCTAATGAAGGGTTCCATGAAGCCGTTGGAGAAATCATGTCACTTTCTGCAGCTACACCTAAGCATTTGAAATCCATTGGTCTTCTGCCACCTGATTTTGAAGAAGACAATGGTATGGAAATATTCTCATGGCTTGTTCTGGGGCTTCTTTAGTCTGACATGGGCTATTTATTATCATGCATAAGAAATATTTATTTTTTGGCCCATAAGGTATAAGATATTTATGGATAACTAGAAGTTGCTACTGTAAAAAGAATTTTAAGTATATATCAGAACATGTCAACTTGTGGCTTTGTATTATTGAAAAGGGATTAAGAGGGGTAATTTAATGAATGGTCTTGGGACCCTAAGAAATATCCAACAAAAGTTTGTTTTTCTATTAAAGATGCTGAAATAGTCCCACAGAACTGAAATGGCTTGTTCAAGGTCACCCACCTAATTAGTGTCAAGGTCCTGACTAGAGCCCTCTGGTTCTAGGTTAAAACTTTTCAAAATTTTAGAGTTGGAATAGATTCTAAAAACTATTTTATAGAAGAGCAAACTGAAGACAAGACAAGGAAAGTAGCCCAAAATCAAAGAGCAACATAGTGGCAAAACCAGAACCAGAGCCCTAATCTAAAGCCTTTTCCATAATCTTATAGAAAGCAAAGTATAACTTGAAATCTGGGGCTTCTTAAAGAATAGGTGGTGGAATATCAAGATGGGACTGAAACATTTTGTTCATCCAACTGAAACATTGATTTCCCCCAGTAATATCACCTTAGATCCATGCTATTTTTCAACATCTTTGCCTGAGGCATCCCGTTTCTCTTTGGATGGCTTGGATCTGATGGAACACGACAAATGTTCAGGAGATCCAGCTTCTTCAGTGAAGATGCCATGGCTTTGATTATCCCTTGTAAAAGGAGGGCAATTAGAACCTAATACCTTGTCTTCTATGTATTCTCTCCCCTTGTTTTAATTATTTGTGACAAAAAGATCAGCTCTGCTGGCTGGAGTGTTTGGTCAATGCAGTCAAGGTCACAAGCTCCATCCTTGTGTGGGAAATTCACTTTGCCTTGATCTCTGGCTCCAGATCCTTGGTGATCCCATGAGGGCCTGGGAGTAAGCCAGTGTAAAACCATCATCATGTCTGAAATAATCACTGTAAGCATAGATTCAGTGGATTATAGACTAGTAGTGGCATCCTCCCATGAAGCAACAAAGGAAAGGTAGTTAACACTAACCACATATGCTTCCTAATTTTAAAATATAATTCATTTAAGTCAATGAACAGACAATTATTTTATTATTTTTTAGTATTCCCTGACAGCAGGCCAAAATGTTTGAATCGCTATGTTTCTTAAGATGGTATTAGATGTGGTTAAACTGCCAGCTTGGAAAACTCCTGCTTCTTTCCTTGGCTCTGCCCCTGATTTGCAAATAATGTTAAACAAATAAATTCCTTCATCCCTTCTCTCCCTCACACCTCTTTCTCTTCCTTTCTTCTTCCAAACACATTTACCAAGCACATACCATGTGCAAGGCATTTTTCTAGACACTAGAGACACAGTGAAGTGCAAGGTAGATAACGTCCCCTGTTTACATTTCAGTGAGCTTCCCTTGTATACTAGAGATGAGCTCTACTGCCTCTTTATGTCACTAATAAGGGATAAAATAAAATAACATGATTTGTTAAAGGTTCTTAAATTCTTGGTAAGGAAGATATTAGTACATTTAAAGAGCATTGTACTTTTGATCATCCAGTGGATTGTGCCCTCTAGGGAGGCTCTTTTGGTTTTTTCCCCCATCTCCG